TTTACATATTCTTCACAACTATCACTTTTCACTACCATTGGATTGTAGGACGTTGCTTAAGACTCCAAGACAAATTTCAACTTAAAAAATAGGCAATAGTGAATATATCCATTTCAGTTTGGAAAATAAGATAAAATAGTTATTTATGATATAAGTGTTTGTAGAAAAAATATTTTAATTAATATCAGACTTTGGACACATTCTCAGCATTTCCCTAAGAAATTTTTCTCTATAAAAGCAGATTTTCATGAACAGAATATAGATTTTTTGAAGTCGACCAAGGTAAATCGAAAAATGTCAACTATTTTTACACCTGTTATAATAAGTTCACCGCCTAACAGGCATAAAGGGCCGATTCCAAAAGATACAGATCAAGAAAAGAGATCATTCAGTGAAATATACTACACGTCACCAACCAAATACGGCCTGATTCAAAGGTTGTGGCTTTGCTATTCCAAATCTCTAGATGCAGTATACTGCTTACCTTGCTGGTTGTTCTCTAAAGATACCTAACAATAAATGGCGAAAAGGCTTAGGAGACTGGAAACATTTGTCTTTTCCGAATTACCTCACATAGCAGTAGACAAGCGTATATTCAATCCTCTGCGTTATTAAATTTGTGGAGAAAAAACCAAACCGTTTACCGTGAGATGAAAAATAAAATATTATTCGAAGCTTCTTTTTGAAAACTAGTTTTAGAACGGTTGTTCCGTATAACTCTTATTGGTTTGACAAAAAACTCCTTAGCTTTTCGTTGCCATATAGAAAATATCTCAGGTTCAGGCGATTATAATGGCAATTTCCTTTTTTTACTTGAGTTGCTTTCAAGTTAGGACGACATAATGATGCAAGTCATTGATATTTCTAAAAGAAGTACAAAATACTTAAGCTCGCATATCCAAAATGAACTTATACAATGTTTATCAAGTACAACATTACAAGAAATTGTATTGCAAATAAACTCTGCACCTTTCCATATTGGATTTTGCTTGGATTTTTTTAAGAAAGCTCCCACCTGGGAACAGTACAACAAAGTTGAGTTTCTTTTGAAAAAAATCCCTGAATGCACCATAATTGAAAATGATTCATGTCTTTGATGAGACACTATTGAGTGAGTCTCACCAACATATTGATAATGGTAATTATATTCATGGAAGTAAGCTCATTTTTTGGACTGAGCAAAAAACTATCAAAGATCTTAAATGGGTAGAAATTTTTAATTTTTTCGATGAAAATCCTTCCCTTCAAATAATATTGTGAATTTAGTACAAGGTACATATTATATTATCTGGTATAAATGCTTCTACCCAAGATCATGTCAATTGCGCTGGTCATAACCTCAATTTGGTAGTTAATGATGCAGTTTCAAGATGCTTTTCACAACCCTTTAAAATATGTATACATTTTTTGGGTATAGTATTGAAAGGTGAGACGTTCTTTCCTCATTCTATGGCGAGTCAGAAGTTACTTTAAAGACATTAAATCCCACTATAGGTGTTCCGGATGAGTTCAATCAATCTCAGCCATAAAGCTTCGCTGATTTCGCAGATTTATATCGGTTTATATTCGTTGATTTTGCATATTTAATAACGTACGTAAATACGAAATTCTTGTATGTGGAACAGTCTCACAAAAGAAGAATCAACAGTATGTTCGCACAGACCGTCTACCGAAGATGCCTGCTACATAGAAAAATTCTGGAGCCTGCGACAAAGCGCGTGTCATCATTTGAATTCATAAATTCCAAACCAGGAAACGAGAGCCTGATTGTTTGTGAAGAAAGTTGACTCACAATTGATGTTTTCCAAGAAAAAGTTAAGCAGGTAAGCTATTTTTTTAGTGAAGAAATAGCATATCTATAATTATGTATATACTTTTAGTGGGAGTAGTTTAAGTTTATTCATTTGGACCCATGACATCACTACCCATTTAATTAGTCTATATGTAGCGGAGCCAGTCCTCTATAAAATAAAATCAGCTTCTTATCATGACAGAAATGCCCGCAACAAAGCTCTGCAAAAGATTTGTGAGGAGTTAAATGCAGGACATCAAACAAATTTGACCATCTCGTATATTATATACGCTCATCTCGCAGAAAAAGACCGAGTGCTCTGGAAAATCACTGGATAATATATACGTTCCCGAATGGTGGTGCTTCGGTCTTCTGCAGTTTTTGAGGAACCACTCATAAGGATACAGTAGTTCTAGGCTAATCTCCTTAATAAAAATATGTTCTGGGTTATTCAACTAAGGATATACTAACCAGCTTTCTCGTTCAAGACAAGAAATTATTGGAATCGAACAATGTGTGCAATATATGCTTAAGTAAATGTATTTATTTGTTTTAGGAAAGTCAAGAAAGAGAAGAGCCTAAAATATTATCTGATGGTAACATATCGGACATATCTGAGGTATCTCTTATGTCACCCAGGTTCGCGACGCCACCATTACGTCAAGGCCTGGTTTTCCGTTTTCCATTACAAAAGAAAACCCTCCACCAAAAAAGAGGCTGGAGATTGCTGCAACGCCAATACCAACGGGAGCCGAGGACTTCTTTGAAACTTTAAACCTAATAGGTGCAAAAAAAGCACCCACAGTGGATGGCAATTTTCCTTTTGGCCAGTAAGTTTATTTGTCTCAATTATATTTAAGTTTAGGTTTTTCAAAACTCACTCATGAGAATATTAAGGGCAAACACAGGAACCAACAGTCGAATGTACAGAGTGAGTCATTTTGGGTGGGAATGCCGGGTACAGCCTAAACGGTGATAAGAATCTGCCAAGCACACACTATTGGGAAATATTTGCATTGACTATTTTGTATTGTAGGTAGATTTTATAAATCCTGTTAGCATTAACATTCAATCCTATAAATAGGTTTAACCAATCTAAGGTTTAAGTCCTAAATTCTGTTGAAAGGTGTGGTATATGTATGTCCCTGAAGGCTGAGTCGCCCCTACAACTACATATTTGTTTTTTAGGATATACAGCAAATAAAACTACGAATACCCAGTTTAGTACCATTTACAACATTTTTATAATAATTTGAGAATAAAATATTCATTATGTTTTACTATATTTTATGTAGAATACTACCAAATTTAGTTCATAAGATATATAAGAAATATATTCTAATTTTCACTATGTGTGATATTACCATGCATTGTGCTCTTTTTATATTTTTTATGATATTTTTTGTAGTTTTTTTTTTAGCTAGTTTATAAATCCGAAAATAAATTTCAGTTTGTTTCGAAATATTTTCTTTTAAAGATTACAAACTTACTCCTGAAAGTTTACAGAAACTACATGAAATGGCATTATCAAGCAATGAATATACAGAAATATTGAAGGTCACAGAAAATTTAAATTAAGCTTTGACCAAAAGAGAAATTTCAAAAATAAATTGGGTCTTCCTCAGAAACACATAAATATAAAAAAATTGAATATCCGACAGATATTAATTGTTTTGTTTCTGACAATTTTGAAATTACCACTAATTTTTTGATAATACAAAAAAAAAAATTCAGCATTTTCAGTCGATTTGAATAATTTTCCGATTCCCAAAAATATAACGTTGGCAGATAAAAGCTTTGGGGTTGCAGGAAAAATTGACATTCTTCTAGGTTCGGCCATATTTTGCAATATATTATGTGTTGGGATTCTATATTCTTAAATAAAATTGAGTTAAAAATCAAACCTATTTCTTTTCCACTATTTTATTTGCGCGAAATAAGGCGCCGCAAGTCTAGCCAGACAGGCTGTACTTGTGACCAACGCTGGCACCAAAGTTTCTCCGCTCTTTGCCGCACACACGTGATGTTTCTGAGAGCATCAAATAATTTTAAAATATATTTTTATTTTCACACTTTTTAAGGGAAGTTACTTTTCAGCGTCTGAGTTGGTCGCGTAAAAGTCGAGCGCTCATCTCGCTCTCGTACACACAATAGTACGATTATTTTCAAAATCTTATTATTATAATGCAATGTACAAGGCTGGGTAGGATTGTCGCGAATCCAATTGGTTTTGCAGATAACACTAACCGACAAGTATGTCATATTAACACTAATGTGGAAATTCAAAAGCAACTTGAAAGGCTTTGGCAATTGGAGGAGTTCCTGGAGGATGTAGGATTCAGCAAGGAGGAAGCAAGTTGTGCTGAAATTTTCAGGAATACTATTGTCAGGAATAAAAGTAACAGATTTATTGATAAGCTTTCAATAAAGGGAAATAAATTGGTAGTAGATGAACTACAAGAATTCTATAGCGGATGTGACGTCACACTCGTTCTGGGGCCCGCGCCCGTGATCAGAGAAGCCCCAAATTGAAGGGGCCTAACCCAGGTAGGCCTGTACCCCATTTCGGAGCCCCCTTCTTTTTTCGTGGGCCCCATTTTTTGGTAAGCCCCAATTTAAAGAGACCTAACCCAAGTAGCAAGGTTCCCAACGAAAATGTTTTTAGTCGCTTATCACAAATTTAAAAAAAATTTAAAAATTTAAAAAAAAAAAATTGTGTAGGGTATCAAAATTTTTGTAATGACTTCAGGAAACCGAATTTGAAGGGTGGTCCAAAAAAAAAAATTATCTAGTTTTTTTATACAAGTGCATAGTTGGGTAGGTGGTGCATGGTGGTGGTGGTATTTGTCACCCAATCGAAAAAATCTTAGGTGGGTGAGTTTTGTGTGGGCGGAGTGAGGTACCACTTTAAAAGTCGACCTACCCATACATTTTTATCAGTCAGCTTAGCATCATGGAGTCTCAAAACTTATTCAGTGGAGAGACCCTTGATGCTAACTTACCAAGCGACCTAAAAAATATTACCTTAGACGCTCTTCCAAACAACGATATAGTTGAAGCCCATGCAGACGCTACCATGTGTGCCCCAATTGTGATACCAATAGTGACATTATCAGACGACGAGAACGAAGCCTTTCACACAGGTCCCCCCTCAGGAGGCCAATTAAAAACCTCAGCCTCATGAGAGGGCCGGTGGACCAAGTTAAACGGGCGTCTGTGCTGAAAACAATTCTGTTGACTGGGGAAAATGGGGAGGAAGAAGGCCCTTCAGGCCAAAGTTGTTGCTGAGAGGACTGCTGTTGTAGAAGCAGAAAAAAATGTCAGCGCGTCGATCAATCATGCAGAGGATGTGAGGCCGAGAGTTGAAGCTTCAAAAGCTCAACTCGAAACTTTGAAAGCTCAATTAGAAAAAGAACAGCACGAGTTGGAGCACGCCAACCAGCAAGTGGTGCTGAATAAGATAGAGCTGCGTGTGATGACTGGTCGGCGCGACGAGACAGAGGCAACAATTTCGAAAGAAAAAGAGTTTTTCCCTAATTTGTGGACATAGAATAGGTATAGCTATAGTTTTTTTTTTTTTTTTTAATAATAAATGATATATATCTCTACAAGTTTGTTTTTGAATATTTCAAGACAAGAAAACCTTAAATAATCCCCAATGAAATATTTGGAGATAAGAAATAAACATATGCAGCCGTATTCAAAATCCTCTTTTAGATTTAAAACCGCTTTTAGAACTGGTGACTTATTTATTAAAATTGAAAAGCTGCATGTGGAAGGGGTGCTGTCAAATTTAGGTGAGTTTTGCGGGTGCGTAGTGTGCCAGGGAGCCCCAATTTACCAACCACCAAATCCATTACCGCATGAGGACGCCCCTCCAGAGGTACCAACTCCAGTCAGCGAATCGAACGAAAGTCCGGGGCATGAATATGCCGAAGTGGAAGAGTTATTCCCTCCTCCCCCACCTGCCCCAACGCCAAACCCGGATTTTCCTTTAGCCAACCAGCGTACCGTTCTTGGGCCGACTTTCAAGGTCCGAATTGCACAAGAAGTCCCTACGGTAAATTTGGAACCCCTCAACCGCAGACGTATATCAAGAAACCGACCACCACCGGTCAGAATACCACAGTTTAATGTGGAGCACCACGACGGTCTCCAAATGAAACTGCGCAGAAGGACCCCCACTGATCAACCCTAAATTCCAGAAGGAATTCGAATTTAGAGATAAGTATAGTATTAGGTTTAACATAATTTTACGGTATTTAACGGTGTGAAACTAATAAATGTGTGGATTAACTTGAAATTTATGATAATTTAACAGAGTGGACTAATATAAAAATTTGGCTATTTATGTGTTTGGAATGATACTAACATGAGTCTAAGGTATAATAAAGTTCGATATTAGAAAAAACTAAGGTTAATTAAGGTACTATTTTTCTAACATATTCAACTGTGTAATATATAATATTTTGTAGAATTAACGAATTGAGACTCCGTACTCACATTCCAAAAGAACAAAATAATAAAATAATATAAAATTTGTAGATATTAAGGAATAATAGATACCTCGTTATCTTATAAAAAGCCACACTTAATTGCAACACAAAAAAAAAATATATAATTAAAAGACAAAGAAAGATTTCTATTTCTCGCTGATCTCTCGATAAAATCGACCAGCTCTATAAAACCTGCAAGCTTTATCTTAGAGGATAATCTCAATATATAATTTCGATTAAAAATGGTGGAAGGAATGTAGTGATGCTGAAATTATCCACCCAGAAAAACCAAAAGAAAATAATTAAAAGTAAAAATAAATTCAAGAAAATCTGAAAACCATCACGAAAACAGAAGAACAAGGACCACCCTCCATACTGTGAACAAAAATCAAGAATCATGATCACCTGCTACAACCAACATCGGCAGATAACAAACGACTCAAACCACAAATGCCTCAAACTTCCAAATATATAAATGGATCATCCAGAACAAAGACCCGAAAATTATCAAAATCTCCGAATTCCTAATCGAATCCCTAAAATCACACACTCACAAATAAGCGTTGACCGAATTATTGCCCAACCCAAATCGAGAAGCTCAAAGAACTGTACACCTGCTAAATGATGCAACATTTCATCACACGGAATGCCGAATAACAGAGCCATAAATCATACACGTGTCACAGGCCCAAATTAAGGAGAACAAGGCCGCCGGCAATTACACAAAGAAGCGGCACAGAGATCAAAGGAACTGTTGACTGAAGCTCATAAATTAGGGAGCATCAAAAGCGGTAAAGAACAAAGGAAACAAAAGAGGGGAATTTTACTATAAAAGAAGAAGTTGGAACAGAAAGAGAGGAGAAAAAAAGAAAAGAGTCGACAAGAAGTCCAGTTGGTCAGATACAGTCAGATAAGCGGCCAGATCAGTCCTGTCACTTAAGCGGTCAAGAGTAATACAGTGAATAAGTCCGAGTCCAGTCCAGTCCAGTTAGTTAGTCAGAATTCAAGTGACAAATCGAGACAGCGCGAAACAACGGGTTTAATTTGCTATAGTAAAAAGTAATTAAGTGTGTGCTAGCAGTAGTTAGAATTGATTTAAGTAAGTAACTAATTGCTTTTATTGTTTTGTTAAATTTGAGTTTGGAGTGTACAATCTTGTCATTGAAAAATTTATAGCAGAAGTAGATATTAAAAGCTATGGTTGTAAATAACTGACAACTAAATTAATTTATCTAGGAAAATTTAGAGCGCTTTCAATAATTTTGGTTTGAAAAACGTAAAATTTTTGGAAAAACAATTAGTAGTATTTTATTTAATGAATCATAATTCTAGACAAGTTAAGTGAGAAATTCTTTTATCAATTTCATGGATATTGTCAAAGGCTAATTGAAACTAAAAGAATTTCAAGCTTGAGGGATATCTAGCGTAAGCATCGAAATGTAATTAATGTTAGGGTTCGAACATAAAGTTGAGTAGGCCATTTCTAGACCCATCACTATTTATATGGAGACAAGTAAATAAATTTGATAGAAACCATAATTATCTACGGTTGTGTTTTACTCTCTATCACCCGCAGTTAGGACCCACACCAAATCTGTGTCTCCACTCAGAGACTAGATAAATTACCGCTCGCCAACTTTTACATCTTACTAAGTTTCTGAGGTTGGGGTCTCACAATACTTGTAGTAGGAGTAGTTTAAGTTTATTCATTTGGACCCATGACATGACTACCCATTTAATTAGTCTATATGGAGCGGAGCCAGTCCTCTATAAAATAAAATCAGCTTCTTATCATGACAGAAATGCCCGCAACAAAGCTCTGCAAAAGATTTGTGAGGAGTTAAATGCAGGACATCAAACAAATTTGACCATCTCGTATATTATATCCGCTCATCTCGCAGAAAAAGACCGAGTGCTCTGGAACATCACTGAATAGTATATACGTTCCCGAATGGTGGTGCTTCGGTCTTCTGCAGTTTTTGAGGAACCACTCATCTATTGTGGAACCTGGTTGTTCGAATATGTCTCATGCGGTAGAGGCTGAAGAGGTACAGTAAGGATACAGTAGTTCTAGGCTAATCTCCTTAATACAAATATGTTCTGGTTTATTCAACTAGGGATATACTAACCAGCATTCTCGTTCAAGACAAGAAATTGTTGAAATCGAACAATGTGTGCAATATATGCTTAGGTAATTTTATTTATTTGTTTTAGGAAAGTCAAGAGCCTGAAATATTATCTGATGGTAACATATCGGACATATCTAAGGTATCTGTTATGTCACCCCCGTTCGCGACGCCACCATTATGTCAAGTCCTGGTTCTTCGTTTTCCATTACAAAAGAAAACCCTCAACCAAAAAAGAGGCACAAGATTGCTGCACCGCTAATACCAACGGGAGCCGAGAACTTCTTTGAAACTTTAAACCTAATAGGTGCAAAGAAAGCACCCACAGTGGGTAGCAATTCTATTTTTGGTCAGTAGGCTTAATCAAATTTGTCTCAATTATATTTAAGTTTAAGTTTTTTAAAACTCACTCGTGAGAATATTAAGGGCAAGCACAGGAATCAACAGTCGAATGTACAGAGTGAGTCATTTTGGGTGGGAATGCCGGGTACAGCCTAAACGGTGATAAGGATTCGCCAAGTACACCCTATTGGGAAACATTTGCATTGACTTATTTGTATTTTAGGTATGTTTTATAAATCCTGCATTACCATTCAATCCTATAAATAGGTTCAACCAATCTAAGGTTTATGTCCAATTTTCTATTAAAAGGTGTGGTATATGTATGTCCCTGAAGGCTGAGTCGCTCCTACAACTACATATTTGTTTTTCAAGATATACCGTCATCTGGGGTGAAGTCGGACTGTGGGGGTGAACTCGGACAGACAGGTATTGGCCGGCGTTGTTTACGATATCGGGAATCGAGGCGCCTAAAACGTCTACCGACCGGCATTTTCCGATTAGTTTAGCTCGAGTGTCGTTGAGAGTGGTGCATGTTTGCTGAATAAATTCGCCGTAGAGCGCGTGGTAAGAATTTTATAAATTTTATTATTTTCTTAGAATTTGAAAACCCAAAAAGAAACTGCTGGGCACTGGGGAATACTGAAACTATGTAGTTCAAATGAGTTATTATCTCTTATGTGCTCTATTATTAGCAAACCCATGGCAATTTGGTGAAAAAATTATTTTTTTTTTTTAAATAATGGGGTTTTAGTAAGAAAAGTCATTTTATAGGGGGGAAGGCGGACACCATGGTTCGGTCCTATAAGAAAAAAATCGGCATCAATTTCAAAAACTACAATAAAGAAAACGTCGCTAGAGCACTAGAAGATATAAGACGAGGCATAAAAAGTTTCAGAGAAGCTGCCGAGTACTATGGGGTTCCCAAATCCACGTTATATGATAAGAAAAAGGGAATCAAAATAAAGAATCATGGCGGACAACCCATAATTTCACAAGAAGAAGAGAAACTTTTGGCCAAAGGCATTTTAAAATTCAGCGAGTGGGGTTTTCCTCTTACCAGGCAAGATATTAGACTACTAGCTAAAAGCTATTTAGATAGAAAAGGAGTATAAATAAAACAATTCAAAGACAATTACCCTGGAGTTGACTGGTTTTACAAATTTATTACTCGGAATAAAATTTTAACAGAACGATTTGCGCAAAATATTAAACGCTCAAGGGCAAATATAACAAAAGAAATAATAGAAAGCTATTTCTTAAATCTGGGAGAAACAATTGAAAATATCCCACCCTCTAACAAATTAAATTATGATGAGAGCAACTTGTCCGATGATCCCGGGAGAGTAAAAGTATTATGTAAACGAGGATCTAAGAGGGTAGAGAGGATTGTAGATTCAAGTAAGTCAAGCATATCAATTATGATGGCTATTAGTGGATCAGGGGTACTTTTACCCCCATATGTTGTCTACAAGGCTGTACATTTGTATCCAACTTGGGTAGAAGGAGGCACTGATGGGACTGTATACAACCGCACCAAATCCGGATGGTTTGATTCAGTTACTTTTGCCGATTGGTTTGACAAGATTCTTCTACCCTATTGTAAGAAGCTTCCAGGAAGAAAGGTCTTAATAGGGGACAACTTGGCAGCCCACACTTCAATGCACGTTTTACGGTGTTGTGAGGAAAATGATATTTCTTTTGTTTTATTGCCACCGAATGGAACACATTTGC